TGAAAGATCCAGTCATCGCTCCACTCGAAGCTGACGCGTGCTCGTCCCGTGCAGTGTTGTCTTGGTCAACGTGGTATGGGGGGATTTATTGTTTCTCCTCCACAAAATCTGATTTTCGACCGGGAAAAAGGCAAATGGGATATCAACCGGATTGTGCAAGTCAGATTGTACCTGGTTTTTTTCTTTCTTTCTTTTCTTTTCTTGAAGGTGTAAATTGTGGTTCATGATTGATCATTTCCTTGGTAATGTGATTTTTGGGGGGATTTCCAGAATTAGGCTTTTTATAACGCATATTTGAGTATGCACGATGGTCAAAATCTCATGACCCCAAAAGAAAATAAATTATGAAGATTAAGGGAGGGGCTTTACTTGAAAAAAAAAAAATCAACAAAATAAAATAAAACAAATTCAAAAAAAGGGACAAAGTGAACAAAAGAAAGAGCAAAGCGAAAAGAGGCTTGACGCCTATGACGTGATGGGCTGCACAACGGGCTTTGCGGGGATCAAGGGCTCCCTAAGGAACATGATCCCTGCATGCGATCCTGTCGAGATCCACATTTCGCACTAAGAACACTGCCACCCTCAGGGTCAACGCTAATCACACTCTGAAACGCCCGCATCGAATGTGGATCCGACCCGGCCACTTCCTCCCAGATTGGGCTTTATCGGAATATCCCCCCCCCTCTCATTGGTTGAGTTGTTTGTCCACCCCCAATCGTTCGAATTCCCACTGCACACTTCTCGCTTTGGCTAACTCTTTCAAGTAAACAAATTTCATTCCCACCCGAGCTCAAGAACCCCGAGGCCAGGAACGGCTTGCCATTATGAACTATGTGTATACTATGCTTCTTCTGGCAGGCAGTAAGAAAGAAAAAACTTTTGAGAGAAGCCAATTTCACTAACCCAACCCAACCCAAATCAACAATCTCCCCCCAAAATTCAAAGCCAATTACGTATAGTATACGATGCTTCCTCGAACCCTTCTGCTAGTCACGGAGAACCTCGGGGTACGCAGCCCGCGCCATGTCATCCTGCATGTTTCTTGTTCCTTATAGTATACAGCTCCGAGTTGGGTGATGGGCACAGGCTCATCGTACCGGAGTAGGTATGGAGTACATAGTACTCATGTAAGTCTACCGATGTGGCCTATCCAACCTGGAGCCCCGCCAACATCAAAGTTTGATAGCATCTAACTGGTCGATATTAAATTTTTCTGATCACATTTTGAACCAAACAAATCGTAAATCTAATCGAAAACTTACGGTGTGCGCTGTACAACGTACACAACGTGGGCGCTGTTGTGTTACCTCCCCTATATCCAATATTCAATATCGCTTGTCCCCTCTAGCCTTGAGCCCTTACACAAAATCAGGATCAAGCTTCAACCCCCCCTAGCACACACACGGGACTTGCAGAAAGCGGATCGTATCTTGCTTGGCCCATGTCATTTGCTGTCCCGTTTGGGGGCTATACTGTATTTACCAGTGTATATGCACTACCAGCCGCGTCTTGAAGGGGGAAAATGACATATCTGCCTTCACTACTAGTACGGAGTCAAAGGGGACAAGGTAGGGCCCTGCCTTTTCAGGTACGAAGTACTTCCTACAAGTACCTATAATCAGTACCTATAATCAGCTAGAGTATGATCCCCCTCGCTGCCTATACTGGAAGTGCCGCCGTCATGGAAGCCTTAATGCAGGGTCTCGCGTCCCTTGCAACAAAAACAAAAGAACATGCTCCTCCCTACGGATGCTTCTATGTTGTTGCATCAAGGCATGTTTATGTTCCAATGTTTACATTGACATGTTGAGTTGTCCGGGTCACGGTCCGCACCAAATCCTACCTACTAGTAAGTTGTATACATACAAAGCCGCCCCGGGATACTCAATCAGTAAAGTTCGAAAAAGGCATCCCGTGAAAAAAAAGAGAGAGAGAGACCTCAGCATTGACTTCCACATCAAGTCAGTGCGTCACCATTGCCTCCCATCCCTGATCCCTGCCTCTTGCGCAATGTGTATTCCTCCCCAGCCCTGATTGGCCTCGAAGCTCTCCATACAAAGCCGGGAGCCTCTCACATGAATCCGCGGTATCTCGCATGCTTGACAGGTACACCCGTACGGGAGTAAGTATGTACGATGTATATACGGTCCGTTAGTAAACAAGGCCTTGCTTCCACTCTTCCAAGGAACCCTGGAAAAAGCCTGGTAAATGCATAAACATCCACACTCCACCTGCACAGCACCTGAATTCTGCAAAACAGATTTTTCACTTGCCTCAACGTCGAAAGAAAGCTGTGCCCGGTATGTATACGAGTAGGTGGGGGGGGCCTCGCGCCTTCGGCGTTCATCCTATATGCAATTTACGCCAGCCCCCACGAACGATCCATCCGGATCCATGGTCGTGCTCCGTAAACCAGGCAAAAGATGTGATATGAATGGAGCATCAGTTCACGCAATTCTAAATTTTAGTCTTTAAAAATTTAACGAAAATTTCTTTTCGATGAGAGAAAAAAAAACCTTGGAAAAGCCACCATCCAGCCGTGTCCGGCGCCACCAGGAAAAATGGTGAAAGGAAGGTGTGGATTCATCCATATCTACTCCGTAACTCCGTAAAGAAAAGAAATAAAAAATCGAGAAATTCAGAATAAAATCAAACTTTAAACTTTGATCCCCAGCGTGTCTCCTAAATGGGACTGTAGACCCTGAAAATCCACCGCCAAAAAAAAGCCACGAAAAAAGGGGGCGATGGGGGGGGTCATGGGAGGGGCGTTTTTAATGTTGGAGAGCTTGACATTTGAATGTTTGGATTGTTGCTTTGCTTTTTGTGACAAGCATGTATATGCACAGAGTACGGAGGACATAGTAGTACATACGTACTCTGGATCGATTTTTCTTTCTTACGTTACCCCCTTATCTCGCGGTCTGTGTGTAGAGAGAAAAGGTCTCGACTTGTGTCTGTACAGAAAAGGTACCAAAGAACGGAGTACAGAGTACCCTCTATCTCCATTCCGCGGTGCAGGGAGCGAGCTATGATTGGGAGTTAAAGCTCGAATTCAGGGGGAGGCTGTGTTGAAGCTGTATCCAGCGAGATATTCTGATACCCAAGGACACGGGAAGAATCTCTTTTCTTTTTCGATTTATTTTTCTCGAATGGTTTCTTTTGGGTAATCATTTCGAGTTTACTCCAGGGGACTTGACTTGATGAAGCTGGTTTCCCATAGATCAAATCACACATGAAGCACAGTCTGAATCCATGTCTGAAACATTGAACTATATCAGACACACAGTATACAATATAGTATGCAGGGCAATGAAAACCCCAGAAATCACCAATCTACTACATAGTATGTACACACTTACTAGGTACTCCATAGTATACTAGAGCAACTATAGTTTGACTAGCCCATACTAACCTTGAGCTAAGATGAATGCCGTGATTTCAATAATCTTATAATTCCAATGAGGGTCTGAAAGCTCTATTGGCCTCATGACCCCACCTGACATCGAGCTGACGCGGCTTTTTCTGCGCCAAGAGTCCCCACGGCAAGCTTAGGCATTTGGCGCTTCTTGGCACCTTTTTTCATCCCCATTTTCTCTTCCAAGTATGCCATACATTTGGAAAGTTGGTGGATAGAATGGAAAATAGGGAAAAGAAGGGGGAAAAAAAAGAAAAGAAAAAAAAAAAAGAAAACCAGAAAATCATAAAATTAATTGGAGTAACTTCAACTGTTTCCATAGCCCCTCCTGTGATTACGATTGCGTTTTATTTTATTTTTTCTGCCTTCCATTTCTAAAGTTCTATTTTTGTGGTAGGAAGGACATGGAGGTCCTCTGGTGGCAAATGTGTTTCGTTATTCGGGGAAATGGCAGGAAGAGGGGGGGTAAGTAGGATTCCCCCTGGCTCTTTCTTTTCAAAATGTTTACCTATGATACTCCGTAGAAAGGACCTGACTGCCTTCTCTGCCTGGTGGAAATTTAGCCAAGTAGAACCTCAAAGTACATACTAGTAGTGTGTTGATCCGTACATATACATATTCAATGTTAAGCTCGAAAGTATACCCCAGAATCCCGAGATCCTGGCGCAGCCACCAAAATGCGTTCCTGGGCTCTGCAGATGTCAAATTTTCCAATGCCAGTCATTCACCCAGGACAGGAAGAAGATAGTCAGGATTGACAGTGATTGTCATGTCAGAAGAGCGATCACTGCCCAATTTTTGTTCCTTGTCATGCTTGGCCGTCGATGGTTCCAGGGTCTGGCGGGAGCGATCGACTCTAACTAGATCGACTTGAAGATTTCTATCTCGATCTATGTATATTAGAATACCCTTTATAATTTGGTGGCTTTTTTATGCTCTCTATAATTCTTTTTATTGATTAATGTTTATCTATGGTTTAATTTTATATGGCCTAACGTAACATTGGTCCTGTGCGATCATGTTGCGCGCTTCAAATGTTTGGTGGATGTTTCTACTTTGGAAGTATATTTCCAATGCATCAAGTCAACATTCACACTCGTGAGCAGAAACATCTGGACATCATCAATAGAAGGGTCAACTGGTACATGTCTACCCACACATATCCACTGGTGTCAAACTACGCAATTAACACATGTGCATTGAATGTTTCAACATTGAAATGTTAATCAATCTAGCCACATGTGCACCCATGATGTTGGTGGACGGGGTCTTTGAACTGGTATCTAGCATCAATTGATTGATTCAAATGTCACCTACCTACCTTACCTTGATACAGAATGAATTCCAAAAAACCTTTTCAAGTATGCTGTTCATTTATCAAGAAAATCCCTAGTGACTTTTACATATTGATATACAGAACCACGCCACACGTCCGATCATGAAAAAAAAAAAATCCTTGGAATAAGATAAAACACCGGCTGGCAAACATAAGAAGCTCCCTAAATATCGGGACCTAAACCTTGGAATAGTTATGCAAAGAGAAGAAAATGAAATGAAACAAACATGGCCAATTAAAAAATCGCCCTTAGACGATGATAAACAACTCCGGTCGATCCAGGCCATCATCCTCCACGATGGGATAGTACGGGACCATCGCATCGGCCGCCTGCACATATGCATCGTTGTACAATCGCCAATATGGCACGCGAACCTTGCGAGCAGGATGGAATAATCCAGCCCAGACGTAATTCATAACGGTGCCGGAACCAACGGCCATGCGGATCGCATCGATGGCTTCAATGATACGATCAATGACGTGAGGGCTCGTCTCAAAGATGTTGGGGAAGACAAGGTTGAGAAGGTGAACCATAGCATCCTCGCAGCCAAGACCAACAACACCCAACGCAATATGCTTGACCACACTAGCGGCCGTTTGTCTGTGAACTTGGTCGCGATCGACGAGGGCGTCCTCAAGCAAGGGAGTAACAGCATAAACGTAGTCTTTGGCCATCTCGCCAATGTATTCGAATAAGAAGGACATGGCCTTGAGAACACCATTCTGCACGTTAAGCTCAGGAACGCGGTACTCATTCATCAGGGCGGGAAGCACTGTGAAGGGAGCACAAGTTTCGGCAACAATACCAATCGCGACAGCGGTACAAACACGAGACTGACGCTCTTGCACTCGAAGGTTGTTAAGGAGGGTAGCAAGAACATCTTGGGGACCAATGGCCTTGGCGATGAAACCGAAGGTGTTATTGGCCGCACGACGAATACCCTTCTTGTGAGCCTTGAGCATATCCAGCAGCTCGAAGCAAATTCGCATCCATTCACGAGCGTTGACGGATTCGGGTCCACGGTCGGCGATACGACCAACCAGATCGATGGTATTCTCTTGCACCTTCTCATGACGGTTACGGAGAATGGGTGTCAGGCGGGGGAGGAGGTCACGGATTGGCGGCTGCATCTGGTTGATACCGACCACAGTGACGATGGACCGCAGGGCACCGAGGATGGAACCCAGGACCTCAGGGTATTCTTCACCCAGGTATTCGTAGAGCACCACACCAAGCTTGCCCATGAGAGCGTCTTCGCCACACTGCTTCATGACCATCGCGATGCGAGAAATGAGATCGGCTGCTTGCTGTCGAACGGTGGCAGATTTGTTGTTCAGGCGCCAGAGAATAGTACTGACAATCTGGGGAAGGTATGGCTTACAACGAGTGCCAAGGGCGTTAACCACAGTACCGAAACCATTGAGAATGACAATGTCCTCGGTGCTCTGTTCCTGGAACGTATAAAGAACACCATCGATAAGTCGCTCCTCCAATCGCTCGGAGATATCGGCAGCGCCCAACGAGGCAATTAGTTTCTCGATGGTCTCCACAGTCATTTTGCGGTAATACTCGTTTTCATCCTTCAGGTTGTTGACAACCCGCTCTAGGATCTCGCCAACACCGACCTTTTGGCCCAGATCAACAGTGGTATCTACCACTTGACGGTAGTTTCGGCGATCAAGGGCCATGCGTCTCACCCAGAAACTCTTGAAGAAGTCGGTCAAGACATGTTCCTTGAGATATCCGGCGGTGACACCATCTGTGCTAGCACACTGGGATACCACCTTCAAAACCACCTTCTTCATCTCTTCGTCTGGCGATGAGAACTCACGGATTAAAATCTCCATGATCTGTGAACAGTAGTAGTTACTATATTCTTCATCCATCAGGGGAATGATGTATCCAACAGCCTTCAGGAAAGCGGCTAGACCCTTTCCACGCTGCTTGCGTGCGCCAGTCCAGAGAGGGTTCAGAATATCGTCAAAGCTTTCGATACCGTAGGGGTTCGCAGCTTCAGCCAAAGCAGCAACAGCCAAGGCGGTGACTGTCCTAACCTTGGCCTGCTCATCGCTAAGGTTGTCTGAAATACATTCGACAAGGCCCTTCAGGTGGGGTAGAATAGCGCAGCCCATTAGAATGGGAATCTGTTGAACAATCTTGACACCAGTGTGCCTGGCCTGCCAGGACTTCTTGCTGCGACAGACGGCGCGGAGGAATGGGAGCAGTGCGGGGATGCCAAGGGCAGAAGCTACGACGGCGAATGCACGTGCAGTAGTATTTCGCACATACTCATCAACATGGTCGATATCGGGACGCATAGTACTAATCATAGTGGCGAGACCAGCAGCCTTGGCAAGGTTGGAAATAATTTCCCGACCTTCAACACGAGCATAGTAGTCTTGGTCAATGAGCAATGGCTCGATGACGACAAGAATCTTATGAACATAAGGCCGGACCAAATCATCCAGTTTGTAGAGCACTCGATCAATAACCTTGACGAGCAAGTGACGTTCTTGGTCCTCCAAAGACTTCTCCATGAGCAACGGAAGAATTTGGTTGAACAAGGCACCAGCTCCAAAGTTTCGTGCATTGTCTGTAAGTTGACGCAGCGCAGTCTTTCGCATAGGTGGTGTACCGTTCTTGACCTTGAGCAACAATCGCATAATCTTTCGCTCTTTCAACTCCTCCACACTCATGGTGCTGTCATCTCCAGCCTCCATAAGCTTTCCGAAGTAGGCCATATCCTCAGGCTTGAAGAATTGCAAATCACCCACGCCGGGAATATCAGTCGGAAGCTCTTTGCCCATAGAACGAATACTCTCGGGTTCTTGCATCATGAAGCCACCAACGGTGCCTGCCATAGGTGCTGGTGTGGCCATCATCTTGCGGGCGGGGTTTCTGATCGGCTCATATCCTGGAGGAGGGTCCAAAATCTTGTAGCCCTCTGTGGGTAGCATCATATCCAGTTCTTCATCTGTCCATGCGGTGTTTCGACCAGAAAGATCAGTTCCGAAGCCGTTGGATGGCATAGCACCACCCTGAGACGGATGCATGGGAGTAGCAAGACCTTGGTTGCCAACAGGAGTGGCATCGGTAAGAGAAGGCGCTTGATCCCATCGTGAGCGGCGCTTGGGGGCTTCTTCTGGCGCACCGGGTACAGGAGTTTGATCCCACCGAGACCGCTTGCTCTTCACTTCAACGGGTTCGTTGGCTTCTTCTCCATTGGGTTGTGATGCCACGTCCCAACGCTTCTTGCGCTTTTTGCCAGCTGCACCGTCTTCGGTACTCTCCTTGTCATCCTCAGTCATCTTGAGAGAAGCCTGGTGCTCGGGGACATCTTCCCCACGTTCTCGCTTTTCGGCAAGCAGCTTTTGAACTCGCTCTTCTTCCTTCTCGAGTTCGCGAAGGGCCATGACCTCACGGTAGGTCTGGCCATCCCCTTCGACATTTCCGTTGGCAAAAGGATCCGCGCGCGTTGGTGTCAGAGTGCCTCGGTCGAATCGGCGCTTTTGATAGTCAGTTTCCCGGTCAGCAATACGTGCAGCCTTCTCACGGCCCAACATGATGTCCTCCTCCTCGACTCCATTGCCGTGAGCCATCTCATCGATCTGATTTCGGGTTGCAGTGTATTGGCCGACCAGATTATGGCCTCCGTTCGCGTCTTCCATCTCTTCATCATCGCCAGTCACGGCGATAGAGGTATCGTAGCCTGAGAACTTGTCTGCTCCGTCCCGTTCGTATAAAGTGGTATCGAAGGATTCGGTAAGGGAGGCCTTGGTTGAATTGTCAGTTCGCTGACTAGACGAATCAAAGGCCCCGGAACCTTTCTTTCCAGCAGCGGCAGCATTGCGCTCCGCTTGGAGTCGCCGGACGGCTTCGAGATCGGCTAAGCCAGAGATCAGTACTGAACAAGTGAGTGAAGCGGGCGCAGAAAACTTACCGTCAGACATGATGGAGAATTTGAGTAGAACTGGGGGTATTATCGCGCGCAAGGGGTATTAAAAAGAATCACCGCAGCTACATTCGGATTGAGCACCGTTAAAACGGCAGCATCGATGATGGAAGGAAGCTGTGTCACTGGAGATCGACGTGCAAAAAGCACGTCGTTCCGTCAGGTCGCGGCTGTGGATGACTAAAGAAGCTAGCACGTGACCTTGATAGCTTTGGATGAGTCATCTTAATCTATGCGGTGGCAACACTGCGCCGTGAAGCGCGGTGAAAACAATTGAACAAGAACATTGCATGCAGAAAAAAAAGCTCCACGATACCATGCCATTGGAATCAAACAAGGAATTCTCTAGGCTTGATTTGCAAGACTCACATGCTTTCTCGGTGCTGCAGAAAATTATTCTGGTGTCATCTGGATGTTGTGGCGTTCGGACGGCGCTTACAGACTATTTATGTCACACGTTAAGTGTGTCAGAAAGTGGAGGATAGTGCTATTCTAAGGATATACTGTGTCTGTACAGGTTATGGAATCAGACCAAAAGACCTTTACATGAAGCCTGCAACCCTGAATTATGACCTCTTTGTGGGGCCTAAATGCCCAGGTGGTAGATGATCAGGATGCTCGTCGGAACGTATCAGTAAGGACATCTAGATGGCAGTTTTGAATTTGTACCACCTGAGCCTTTAATACTGAACAGTCGAAGGTTGGACACTTTGAGAAAGTTCTCCAACACCTGTGGACTCTGCCGGCATGGTTTCCCTTCCAGGTTTGAACCTCATCAGGGCCCCTTGGCGGCTATTTGGTGTAGCCCGTAAGTGGGGATGCAATTCATACTCTACTAGTAGCCCTTAACCAAGCAGCGGTCTGATCCCTATCAATGAGCTATGCTCGAGATGGTTACATTTGAATAGGCAGCGATCTGACCGCTATGTGGTTTTCTGGCCCGCAGCACTTGAGTTTATCTAGTATCATCGCTAAGCTTTTCATTCGTGACAGCACTTGAGACAGGGTTTATCAGGATCGAGCAGCCAACAAAGAAGCCAATTTTAGCACTCTCGGATCGTTAGCTCCGACCCACCCCCAGTCTACCTACCAGCGCGTAGAATACCGAGCGAAAGTTCTTGATGCAAGCCAGATAAGTTTAATTAAATTTCCGGCGAGGCATATTAAATAGATCAATCTTGGAAGGCACAGTCATGGGATTTACTACAGATTGACGTGGATTATCAACCTTGGTCCTTCGAAGTCAGCCTGACAACAATCTGTTCAGGTGGGATATCTCCAATTTTGAGACTCGATTTCTCCCAATGTTTCTTTGTTTCATCCAAACAGATAGAAGAAAGCCCTGCATATTTAACCAGCAAAACTTCCTCTTCGTTTTTCACTTTCTCACCGCGCACAGGCTGAGAATCCATCTCTTTATTGCTCTATTTTTGGTTCTCGTGAACTTCCTCTCACTATCATTAATCTTGCCCCCTCCTTGAGAACTACATCACAATGTATATCCTTCAAGCCCTTATACTGTCTCTGACAGTAGCGATAGCTGGTGCTTCTTCCATCCCTGGTCCCTTGAGGCTAGCATCCACATTTTCTCGAATTTCCAGCGAGCTCGACAATATCATCTTGGGAAACTGTTCTCTCTCAAATGCAACCCTTCCACTTGATAAAACAGCAGTCAAGCTTCCTGAACCGTCGTCGAGCCTGACTCTCAAATACATTGCCCTCGGCCGAGGAACTCAAAACTACACCTGTGAAAACTCTACATCATCCGCAGTACCCGTATCTGTTGGCGCAGCGGCCACACTATTTGACGCTTCTTGCATTGCATCGAAATCTTTGACTTTGTTGCATGAAACGCCTGCTGTCTTCGGTGAGGCACCAGTTGCATCGCTCGCTTTCCTAGCAGAGCTCTTGGGTCATACCACAAATTCTTCCGATTTAATCCTTGGGGAGCATTACTTCGATGCTGCAGGGTATCCTGTGCTTGACTTGAGGCTAAGTGGCTCTGAGGACTGGGTGGTCGCCACGAAGAATGCATCTGTGAATGCAACCCAGATCAGCAATTCGACTAATCAGAACGTTGCTTGGTTGGAACTTGACCGCAAGTCTGGAGATAATTGTGGAAGTGGAGTTCATGTAAGATACACTTCAGCATTGTTGCACTTCATACCTGATTCTGACTGTATATACAGAAAGTATACCGAGTTGAGACCTACCAGGGATCTGCCCCATCAACTTGCGCCGGATTGAACCTCACGGTCGAGGTACAATATGCAGCGGAATACTGGTTTTATGGGTAATGGTACTTTGAAGATTCAATGCTGTGACGAAGAGTTATCGCTTGAAGGAAAACTCATATATGATATCCCCGTGTGCATGACTTAATGTATTCCAAACCCCCGAGGCCCGAGTAATGATTGTGAACGTTCCCGTGTTCCAAGTTGAAGACTTTCCAAGGCTATTTTTCCACTACAAGGTTTCTAAATGCCAGAATTTGAATAATATGCTAGTACTTACCTATACCAGTGCCTTCCAAGGTGCTCTCAAAGTTTGAAGTGTAGTCGACGGGTTCAGGAATTGCTTGTCATATCTACCAATTGATGTCGCTGTGAATGAGACTTTCAGCCCGAGATTCCCTGATGTCACTTTGAAGAAGCAACTACCTGCAAAGGACAGCAAAAAAACAAAACAAAGAAAGATTCGAGTCAAATAATGAAAGAAACTGTTGTTGATATCAAGACGCCCCATATTTCCATTTCGGGTCTAGTGTCAATTTACGAGGTAATGTGCCTTAGGTGCCTCAGGAACCAAGGTGGCGTACATGGACCGGAGTGTGGCGCAGCATGCTATGACCCAACAGCTCGTAAACCGGGCATGGACTCCGGTATATTTTGGGGAAGCAAGAATCTACCAGTCCGAGAGAATCGAACAGCTGTCATGATATGACTCAGAATGCACGGACTTTGCAGAGTTTTTAAGCAAATCAAGCTACAGCTTGGTTCCCCGTTCAGGTGGCGGTTCATTAGCCTCTAACAAAGAGAATTTCAATATGGCGGTTGTGCTTGGACATAAGCCTCGCCTCCTGTATGTTAAGTCCTGAAAATATCACTTTGACAGTAAAAACAAAAACAAAAATAGAAGATGCATCTTTCCATTCGGGGTTGCCGAGGAACATGGGCCAACTGAGACTGAGTTGTTATCGTGATTGTTTGATATTGCCACATGTAGGCTGGATGGCCATTGCTTCGAATAAAGCAATACCAGTTTGAATAACCAGATGCCAGTAAAGAAACTGAAGTGGAGAATTTTTTTTTAAGATACTTGTCAGTACTCCGAGTAAAAGTAAGAGGAATAATCAAGTGGATGTTGATTCTCGATATCGCTCTACGGACCACGGATGTATCATGCCTAGGGTGATAGTCACATGACTGGAACTCCAACGACGCGACTGCTCGCGTCCACATCCTCCATCCCCAGCTGTGCATTCATTTCAATTTCCATTCACTCTCGACCAGCGCTTTTGTCGCATAATGATCGCAAACCCATACTGATACCCCCAACACAAATATCATCACGCCGAACCCGCTCTCTCCGCCATACCTCTTACCCCCGAAACCTTCCCAAATCCATCAAACCAATCCCTCAAGATGGCCACCGACTACAGCAAGAAGACCAACGCCGAGCTTGTGGAAGTCCTCAAGGCTCGCTCTCTGCCACACACTGGTAAAAAGGCCGAACTAGTTGCTCGTATCCAGGAGGACGACGAGAAGACAACCGGAGCTCCCGCCGCCGCTCCCGCCGCAGCCTCAACCGACGCCGCAGAGGACGTGATCGATTGGGATGATGATGTGCCCGGAGAGACAGCTGCCACTGAACAGCCTTCCACCGAGGCTGGTGCCAATGTCATTGCTGCTGGCGGCAAGGGCGCCGTCCCCAACCCCGTTGCCGTCCCCAACCAGAAACTCGACACCGATCCCGCTACCACCGATGATTTGAAGGTGGAATCGACCGGCGAGGTTGTCGCTGCTGCAGCGGAACCAGTTGAAGAGACTGAGAAGAAGCCTGCAGTTGATTACACCCGTGGTCTGCCTGCAACCGAGTTGGAAGAAGAGCTGCGCAAGCGCAAGGCGCGCGCTGAGAAGTTCGGCATTGTCGAGGATACAGAGACAGCACTGAAGGAGGCCGAGAAGTCAATTGCGCGCGCCAAGCGTTTCGGTGCGGAGACCGATAACACTGCCAGCGCAAGCGTGAAGGGCCTTGATCAGGCACTCCCGGATGAGAAGTCGCGCAAGCGGGCTCGTACCGAGGGCGGATCAGGTGGCCAGGGTGGCCAGGACCGTCAGGGTGGCCAGGACCGTCAGGGTGGCCGAGGTGGTAAGCGTCGTGATCACGGTCGCAACCGTGGCCGACGTGGAGATGATCAGAACCGCCGCGGTGGAAACAAGGGAGCTAGCGCCCCGGGTGGACAGAAGAGCCGGAATGATAAGGATGCATTGGCCTTGGAGGCGCGCAAGAAGCGATTCGCGACTGCTGCTTGAATGCTCTAAGCGTCTATGATATCGCTTTCTCCTGTCATTAAAGTCGGATCTTTTCCACAATCTTCCTCATTTTATTATTTCTTCTATTTTTTGTGTCTACATACTTTTGGTCTTTACGGGGGCGTTTGTACCAAGATCTAGTGGAATTCAATGGTCCGATTGATAAGTACTATATCTCTTATGATTCTATTTTCAGAATGGCCTATCGTTAGTAATTGCGTTTGATCATCATTTTATCAAGAGGGATTGGTTATCTCATTATCCAGCAATTCAGCAATTCCTCGAAATGTGGAAAACACCACGCAATAAGTGTCCCCGCGAAGTCAGCTGAAAAGGAGCGCATTAGCCTCTGGTTCCTGCAGCACCGCAGCTGGCCAGTGTTGCGCCCGCACGCCCCCAAGGCGGACTGGCCCCTCCAGATCGGCATTGAGGATCGACGAACCCACGGACACAGAATAGAACTTTGAGAAGACCTTTCGAGCTCCTGGATCCTATAGATAGTTCCCGCGTCCCAGTGAGGGGTACGGAGACTCCGTATACAAGTTTGTAGCTCGGCCCAAGTACCACGCAGAGACCCTGGCTCATTTCCCACCAGCCCAGACAAGTAACTGTGTTTACCGCCGGGCTCCACTTGGATAGAAGGCCGGTCTGACGAATCCCAGGCTGCCAATGACCTTTTCTCAGATGGTGGCTGCTGGGGCTAAGAGCCGAGGGCGTCTAACTACGTCAATCAACACACAGTCAGAGTCGTTCATTGCTGGATTACCTGGTGGAGCATCACAGCCCACTAGGAGAGGCCGCTGCAGCGGTCCCAGCTAGGCTAGACCTTGGTTCTCCACATATCACTGGTTGAAGGTATTCCGAAAAAATCATAATGGCTATATCTTATGAACCTATATAGGCAAGAGAACATTGGAATACGGCCCCCCCTCCACCCGAAATTTGGAAATCCTTGAGTCAAATGGATCCCTGGTCAAGGTCTCGGGACGGGCCACTCGTACCAGACTCTGGATAACGGTTTATAGATGTATTATTCCGCTAAATGAGACAGAATATTCAAATGTTCAATACGGATTGACTTCAAATGTTATGGCTTTTCTAATGTTGCAAGTGTAATACGTTACATTATTCTAATTATCCCGTAAACACGCAACTTAATGCAGAATCCAGATTCTTCTCCAGGGCTGCAACCAATACCGGCCTTGCAGGCCCACGTTCAGGAATTCTCCGAGTCCTAGAGTTTAAAAAAGAATTTTTAAAAAATTGACTGTGCGATTAAGCCAACAATAAGCACAAACCCCCAAAAATCTCCCCCCAAAAAAGAAATGAGAAAAAGCTAGGGATAGATCGACGTGCAGTAAGATCGGGTTCGGCGTCCCCGATCGATGAGTTGTCAATGAGGCAACGCAAACGCGGTGAAGATACTCTGGTTCCTGACAGGACAGTTAGAGCAAAGAAGCTTTATCATATCTCTTATTCAGCTTGAATGTTCCTTTCAAACCGAAAACGCACAAATTGGGGAGGCAGTTCGTAGATGAAGTAATGGGATTCAGTTTCCCCAACGTGCCACCAGAAATGCCGCCACTGCGCAATGTCGAACTACGCCGCTGATAGCCTTTCCCCCGAAACCCTAGTACATTTCCCTCTTCCGACCAACGATAGTCATAGATTCATAGCCGGGGACTCTGGACCTTTCCCCATGCGAGCTTCCGTGCACGCAATCTTGTTACGGTGATAGGATTAAGTTTCTAGCGTAGGGCTTTGGGGCCGTTGCTTCAGACTTGCACGATTCGGCTCAGGATTTGCTTCCTACAGGTCTAGCCCGTAGCGCAAAATCTCGACTCATCACAGCGTACCTTTTCTTCACCAATGATAGTTGCGTTGACTTTTCCCCCTTCTATATCTGGAAAGCGAGTGGTTTTTTTGGGAATTCTTGGGATTTTGGAATTTATTGGAATTTATTACATTTATTACATTTATTCTTGGAATTTTGATTTTCCCCCACAAGCGGGCAGAAACACCCGATAACATAAGACTTGGGGATTTTACAGACTTCAATTTTTTTTGCAAAACCTCTTTCTCTCCTGAAACCTCATCCTGGAGAGAATTTCCATGGCAGAAAAATCCATCCATCTGACAGGATTATTTTAGGCCACTGCAAGCCAACAAACCTATGGATTTCCCTCTGACGTGGCCGAGGCTTGAAAAATCCGTGCCACATTGCTCTAGGCTGTGGCGAAGCAGCTGCAGCTTCCGCCGATCAGACAACAAGGTCGGTGAATTTCAATCTTTTATCTATCTGACATCTACCTAGTCATTTCTTGTTCAATAATTCTAATGTTTGTTTCTTTCAGTTGTGTTTTATAGTTTTTTCTTGTTTCTGTTTTAGCGTTGAGATACCCAGATCCACTACTACGATCTCAATTCTCCGCTATTAATACCTTCAGAGTCCTGGAGACCTGTACATGAGACTAATGATTTGGAAATTTTGTACGTCAAAAGACCCTGGGGAATCCCTGTTCAAAATACACCGGGCTCATCACAATATATGGAAAGCTCATACATGCATCCAGTGCCATCGACATACCTTTCTCTAGCGTGATGATTACGATTTCGATGCCCATGTACCTTATTCGATTACTTGTCTCAACATGGGAGCCCAAGACTTCAATCACAGTCACACCATGTCGTACAATTCTGGACGTATGCCGCCGAAGGCATCGTCTGCAGATTCATCACATCCGCCGTCCAACTCTGGCATTCCGCATGCCTCTCGAACTCCAAGATCTCATTTGGCAAGGCCAACCAACTCTACTCCTCGGAGAAACCGCGCAGCATCTTTCTCCACTGCGGAGGAAACTAGACAGATTCTAGCACCTGTACAGCCTGCCAATCGATCAAAACGACTATCATTGTTACCACGGCCTAGTACTGGTGGTCTAACATTCCTAACTCCTTCACCGACACCGTCGCCCCAAACTCCAATTCTCACTCAACCTATTCCGTCCTCGATCTCCTCTCCCGATATCAGAAGCCCATCTGCCTTCGTTCCCAGTCAACAGGTGCAAGCGCCTCCCGCTAAAAGGACCCGAAATGTCCTGCGCAGAAAGGCGCCATTGATTGGAAAGCATGTGGAGAACCAAGCCCAGAAGCTTAGTCTGGTGATCCCGCACCAGCTTAACGAAATGAAGGATCCCAGATTAAATTCCACACAAGATGCATACTTTGCTGGACCTTCGGCATCGGCCTCTTCACAAAGTTCGAGTGACAAGACACCGAAAAGTGCGGTCGAGACTCCTCCAGGGCCAGCGGAACTGGCAAGCCTCCGGACCATCAATACTCAGAACCTTCCTCCTACACATCCTTTCCCACCAGCCAGCAGCCCCTCAACAAGGTACTCCGAGTCCCCAGGTATGTGGAGTCGTGGCTCGACTCCGACCTCGTTGTCCTCGTACTCCCCTGGGATTATGCACTCGAGTAAGATTGGACGTCTGAGACAGGGCAGCCCATCACATCCTAGATTGCCAATGTTCTCGCCATCGACACACGCGAGTCCACAAAGTGCGCAAAGTGATCGACGAGAGGCCAAGGTGCACCGGACTGCTCTTCCTCAGCGGTCTCTTGGCCCAAGTCCTGTGGCATCTACTGCCCCGAAACAAATTTCTAGGTCTGTTGCCAAGACTCCAGGTCCTCCCCAAAGCCCACCACCAAGGAAATCGTCGGTAAAATTTAGTCCGAAGGAATCTCCTCCTAAAGACTCAGATATCGACGTCGAGAAGGCCAGAAAAGAAGTCGAGGAAGCAGAGCTGGAACTTTTCAGGGCCCATAAAAGAACCTTCACCAACCCTGTCAGCCCTGAGATCAGCGTGCCAATGACACCACCACGACCGAGCAGAGATGGTACCCATCGCTTATATCTGAACACATCACCAGTCATTCAAAGTAATCTGCCATATCTCAAGACAACGGGTCACAAGAGACGTGAGTCTATAGAAAAAGCATTGACAGCGGGGAAACCGTACCAAACTGCAACCCCGTCTGCTGCTACTTCTGTGGATTCCTTCAGGCCTAAAGAGTTGTCCCGAATTCCTTCGCGAGAAGTAGGCTCTCCAGTGATGACTCGCAAATCACCAAAATTGGTCAAGGATCCCCCAAAAGCGCCTACCAAGGAGAATGCCGAGATAAAAAAGCCCGTCACACCCAAGCGATTTGGCATCTTCCACAAAAAGTCAAAACCAGATATTGAAAGCAATACTGGCGAACAGAACCGACCAGCAGTACGAAAAGGCCCTGTAGCAGGAACAGGCCATGAGGGATACGGGAAATATAGCCAACGCGGGAGAAAAGCAAGTGGAAGCAGCAGCAGCGGCGTGAGAACCCGGTCAACAAGTACAACTCGAAGCGGTCCACAATCAGTTGCCAGTAGCAAAGGAAGTATGTCAAGTCGTCCAGATCTAGATCTTGACGATTTTCTTTCAAGCCGTCTTGAGCCAGTGTTTATTAGCGGTGGAGGCTCGACCCTTTCGCGAACCCAGAGCGAACTGAGCATGAGCAGTCTTAGTGTTGCCTCATCGAGCCTCTATCGTCCAACACCTCTCACGGTATCTACTGTTCAATCTACCGATTCGTTGGTGACAACCTCTACAGGGATTTTAGATGACGTGAAGCTGCCTAGTGCATCGAGCCTTGCCTTGGTATCGACTCGGAGTCAAAGTCCAGAAAGGCGCTCGGAGGCCGCTGATCGTCCGCAACCGCCGAAGTCGCGCATGCCAGTGCCCAAAGGGAAGAAAAATGAGGTTTATGGAAACCTCGAAGCTGCTCAGACTCGAACTTCTCTCTCGAGCGCTGCATCAACAACCCTTCCTCCCCAGACCTCGAAAGCCACTTCTAGCTCGTCGGGTCATCAACAACCTGCAGCGGTGAAAGAAAGTCAGCAGGTCAACAAGAAAGGAAAAAGCTCCCGGTGGAATCTGTTCCAAAGAAACCGCTCCGAGGCGCCCAAGGTTGCTGCCCCTGAGCCGCCCGCCGTTCCTCACACTGCCCAACTCCACGCCGCAATCTCGCCGGCCTTGAAAACTCGACCAGTGGCCCACTATGCACTGGTGGATGCTGATTCTGACGAGCTTGACGACATAATCAATAATATTGAGCACTCCCCACCGACAGAGGAAGAGGTTCTTGCACCGGCAGTGGAGGTCCCCGCCGGCTTGAATATCAGAAAAAGACACCCATCTATCTTACTACCGTCTCCCCCAAAACTGCACGGCGAGTTTGAAAAAGATGGACGCGCTTCCCCAAAGACCGCAATGTTCAACCGCAATCTGATGGGCTTGGAACCTGAAAGTAGTCCCGAGGATCGTCGACCTAGACGACTGGCTTCCGTGGGCCGCATCCCGAAGGTCGTTTCTAGACGAGATAGACAACACACCCCGGCCACGCAATCCTTTTCTCGACCATTCAGTGTCGTCGAGTCTCCGCCGTCAATTCCAGCTCCTACAAAGCAAGACCTGGATGGTCATCCGAGGTTCACTGATTCTCCTTGGAAGCAACAGGCAGGGATTCCGTCAAGCCAGCCCCCGGACTGGGGCTATAATTATACCCAGGGTCTTAGTCCCCCTGCGACAATTGCCGCTTTGAATTTCCTCTCCGGCCCTTATTCAGCTCAGGAATTTATCCACTTCTCGCCCAACAAGAGCTCGCCATCGGCAAGCAGCCCTGAGACCCTCGCAGCTGTGACAGCTGTAATCCCCAGACCAGAAGCAGCGCCCATGGAGGACGAGATATGGAAAGAATATGATGATTTGATTGATCATGTTCTTTCGCCAGAAGAGCCAAAGACAAAAAGCTCGGACAAGCCAGAGGATGAAGAGAGGTTCCAGCTTGCAACAATGGCAAGCAGAGCTCTTCAGGATGGGTTGAACAACCCCAACTCCCTTTCCCCCGGCCTACCTACATATGGTCAAGCCTCTGTTCGCTCCAGTAGCGACTCTATTCGTCTGCGCAGGTCTAGAATTGTATCGGCTTTGCATTCTTCTATCTCTCCATCAACTCAGCCATCTTATAGCAACCTCATTGCAAGCTACGGGGATGGTGAGGAGTCTAGGAGTCCAGCAAACTCTGCGCAGTCCCAACCAGGCGAGGTTCGAGAGAAGCAATCGACATTCCTTCAATCTCTAGCCACCGCTCCCACGCCCGAAAGAAAGTCTCGCGATGGCCGAAGATCGTTTCCAGGCTCGTCAGAGCGAGACTGGGATGTAGTGACCAGCACAAATATGAAGTCTGCTTCTCTAATGACCAGTCGTTGGCTGTCATTCGGGCGTGTCCTATTCAGCCCTGCACACAACCATGTCAAGACCGGAACTCATGGACGAATTCTTGTGATCGACGGACTCGGAAACGACGACTGGTCTTTCTATTGCTCGTTGACCTATCCCAATGCCGAGGTATACAGTCTAAGCGGCCGACCAGTCTCTACAGCTCTGCCCCATCCCGCCGCATGGCAGCCTCCTACAAATCACCACACAGTCTACCACGCCGGCTTGCAGAACCCACTACCGTTCCCCAAAGACTATTTTGCCGTCACAGTCCTTCGATTCCCCACCGCCAGCCCCGAAGCAATGCAAAGCAACATCATCCAGGAATGCAAGCGTGTTCTTCGCTCCGGCGGATACCTGGAAATGATCCTTCTAGACCGCGACATGGTCAACATGGGACCGCGCACTCGCAAAGCCGTCCGCCGACTAAAGGAAATGACATGTCTCGCCAACCCGGCCATAAGCCTCAAGCCCAGCAGCGATAATGTCCAGCGCTTGCTCGGCACGCAAGGCTTCGACAATCTCCGCCGCTGCATGGTCCGGATCCCCGTAGCAGGCAGGATCGTTCGATCCTCCGATTCCACGACCTCCTCGTCGAACAAATCCTTCTTGGCAACTGCCACAACTGCCACTTCATCTTCTGCCACCGGGTTCTCTCTCCCAGCTATCTCGGTCACCACGACTACGGGTAGTCAGAAAAGTACGCAGACGACTTCCAAGGTGTCACCCTCAGACGATACCAGTGTCTCTTTGGGAGATCTTCTCTCGGATCCGTCACCGTCTGCCGCTAATGACGAGTCGATCGCCAAGATTGTGGCTCGAGTCGGTCGGTGGTGGTATACGAAATGTTACGAGGACCCTGTTCTCCCTGCTTCTGGTGATAATGATCCCAGCATGTGGAGGGATCGCAAGGTTCTTCGCGAATGCCAACAACGCGGGACTGGTTTCCGTATGTTGATTGCGTATGCGCAGAAGCCGAGTGAGGTTAAGAGACGCACTGCCAGCGTCTAAGTGATATGATTTCTTATGATATGATGCACATGATTTATACGCTACTATTTTGCATGATTTTAAATACCCTTTGCAGCTCATGCCTTTTTGTGTGAGATGGCTTATTTATTTGTTTTTTTTACCTTCTTTTTGAAGCTCATCACTTTGTTTCTTCTTCCTTCATATTTCTTTTTTTCTTGTTACTTTTCTTTCTTTCTTCTCCTGTCAGACTGAAGTCCAGCATTTACGGGGAGGCAGATTTATTATTCAAGACTTGCATCGACCTCGCGGTCTCTATTGCGAAGAGTATATTCGGGGGATCTTTGATTGCGTGCATGACGACATGATGATAATTTTGGTTGAATGGGCTCTTCTTTGCATCTCACGGCTGGACTGGTTGATGTATTTGTTGGTTTCATTTTATAAGCAGGACTAATGGATGAACAATTGGATTACATATAACAAAATTACATGAACGGGTGTTTCCTAGCAGTAGAACTTTATTGAAGCTCTCCTAGCCTATTCAACCTAGGAAATAGCAACTGTAAAGCTGTATAGATGTCAGAACCCTCGGGAGGTTGGCCTGCACAGAAGCTTATTTCGCTTTGCAGTCAACTGGTGCCCATGTGTTCATTCGCTGTTTCCTCCTAGGGTACACAGTACATTTCTTCTCTTTTTTCTCCTTGGCATCCATTAATAGAGATTCGCCACTTGGTGAGACTCTACTTCTATGTAGTTTACTTAATATGGTTACCTTGAGAGCAAAAGTGTATAACCTTGAAGTGGATAAAAAGCCCTTGACGTCAGATGGTCTTTTTCTAGAGCATCCACAAGGCTGTACAATATCCACCGAACTGCGCCACAACACTCAACACGAACCACAAGATCCCTGGAACATTTGAACCATTTTACCGTATTTACTATTTAACTATTCTTACCCTCTTTCTTACTCCAACACAAATCAATCATGTCTTCTCATTACCCATCTCGTGAGTTCCCGATTCCCAAAAATCCATTGTACTACCCCACCCTCTTTGCCCCCGCACTGCGCAGGTTGCAGATCGATAAAACTGACGTGCATGAAAAAACCCCCAGAACCACCTTACGGGGCTCCTCAAGGCTACCCCCCAAATAACTACCAACAACAACCCCCTTACCCTCAACAGCAATACGGCGCGCCCCCAGGCCCCCCGCCACAAGGCCACTACCACCAACATCCGCCCCAGCAAGGCCCATACGGCCAAGCCCCTCCCCAGCAGCAAGGCGGCTACTACGGCGCGCCATCTCCCCAACCCCCAGCCGGCTATCACCAGAACCCATCACCACAACCAGGATACGGACCGCCCCCACCCGTCCAATCCCCCTATGGCCAGGGACCACCCCAAGGCTACGGACCCCCACCGGGAGGCAACAATGCGCCGGGCTTCGCACCGCCCGGCGCACACGGCGCACCACCCTACGGCGGGCCCGTAATGCCAACACTCGGCTACACGCCCGGCCAAGTCGCACCAGGCGACTTCCGGCGCGAAGCCGACATCCTCCGCAAAGCAATGAAGGGCTTCGGCACCGATGAGTCCGCGCTAATCCAGGTGCTCGCGCGCCAGGACCCGCTCCAGATGGCCGCCGTGCGCGCCACATACTCGCAGCACATCGGGCGCGATCTCTACAAGGACGTCAAGTCCGAAACGGGCGGGTACCTGCGGCAGGGCCTTTTGGCCGTGATCGAGGGCCCGTTGGTGCACGATGTCGAGTGTGCGCGGGAGAGTATCGACGGGATCGGGACGAAGGAGTGGCTCATGAATGATGTGTTGCTGGGCCGGTCGAACGCGGACCTGAACGCTATCAAGATGGCGTACGAGCGCAAGTATCATCGGCACTTGGCGCGGGATGTGGAGGGTGATTTGTCGATGAAGACGGCTGTCTTGTTTAAGCGGGTTTTGGAAGCACGGAGGCATGAGGAGTCGATGCCGTGTAATCCGCAGGATATTGGGGCTAAGGCTGCTGCTGTGCATGCGAAGAGGAAGGATCAGGCGATGGATATTTTGGTTGCTGCTTCGGATGCGGAGCTTAGGGCTATCGATCATGAGATGGGGGCTAGGTATCGTGCTTCGTTGGAGAATGTTATCTTGAAGGAGTACTCGGGCCATATGGAGAAGGCTTATGTGCAGATGGTGCGGACTGCGACGGATCCGGCTATGCGTGATGCGATTCTGCTGGAGGAGTGTATGGCTGGTATGGGGACGAAGGATGAGGCTTTGGTTACGAGGATTGTGCGTTTGCACTGGAATCGCGATCATAAGGAACAGGTCAAGCGTGCTTATCATCATCGGTTTAAGAAGGACTTGATCCAGCGCGTACGTGGGGAAACTTCGGGTGACTACCAGCGCTTGATGGTAGCTCTGTTGGAGTAAGAGCTTCTAGGCTCTGCATCAATGTCGTTATGAATTCTCTGCACATTATTTGGGTTTTATGGGCCAGGCTGGATGGATTTTGACCATCTATTGTTACATTCATAGTCAAATATTTAATGTTTCTATTGTTATCTAGTATGTGTTCTTGAGTAGAAACATTGGAATTAGAAACATGGATCAGACTAGTAGTTAGTACTGACCCCTAATCTCGTTCACAAGCGATCGGCTGCAAAGCTCAAACACCTAGGAACTTTCAAGTTATGAAAAGAGAAAATGTTCAATGATTGAAGCACGGAGCTGCCAGCACTTGAGCTGATTCAAACTATTCACCAGACTCATCACCAGCCAGGAAGTCGCCAAACCTCTTGACAAATCTTCATTCATAAATCCAACCAATTCAACGCTATTTCTGTACCAGTTGACCGCATCGTATATTCCAAAATATTGGGCCAAGAATCCTTGGCGGAGGTTCATCCATCGAGAAGTTATCAAGAAAGAGATAGAGAATGTTGCTCCTTGTTTTCATGATGCTGGACTTGATCCACATGGGATCTCCAACATATCAATACAGATCTTCCTCTTTGTGGGTGTTAAGAACACAGTCGCTTGTCGGATACGCAACACAGAGTAGGACGAAGTTGTTCTCTATTTGTTCATCGTCTAGGAAACTCTGGTCACTCTGATCAACCGTGCCAGAAACCAGAACTGCAGCGCAGGTAGAGCATGCGCCCGCACGGCACGAGTAAGGTAAGTCAATTCCCTGCTCTTCGGCTGCGTCGAGAATGTATGTATCATCGGCGCAATTAATGGTGACATCTCCATCGGGGCTCTTCAAGGTAACTTGATAGTCAGGCATTGTAGGCACTGCAAAAATGGTGAAGATAGAGGACAGGTTTCTCGGGAGTTGGGAGGGATGGGTGACTGAAAGAAGCGTGACACAAGGAGAATTAGAATCCGTGGATGATGGACTATTTATGCAGATACTATATGTAATTTTCGCTATTCCTTCGAAGTTCGGGATGTATCTAGTACTTCCAAGGTTCATAGTATACCTTCCTCAAGCACTTGAGTGCTGGCATGCATACACACGTATTTAGGATGCATATGGTATAGTATCCTATTTTGTTCAAGTCTAGGTGGTGGCGCGTGTTGCATAATGTACTGGACATAGAATATGCTGGCTTTCCATTAGCTCATGGTATGCCGGGGGTTTCTCGGTATTGTTTACCACTATCCACATGTGCGTCCATGGGCTATCCAAAAACTTGGAATTCCAATTGCATGGCAGGGGAAGGTACCCTCCTGGACAGACCTTGGAAATAATTTCCAGAACCTATAGAAGTTCTGTTGGTTTGTTCCAAGATTTTTAATTGAATGTTGTTCAGGACGGAGGAACCCCATTCCACACTTGCTATGCGGGAGATGAAGCTGAAATGAGATATGACCTCAGGAAGATCATAGCACTTTAGATATTTCCAATGGTCAACTGGGTGATACTCGGTAGTAAGATTATGTTGATTTCATGCCGCTCCAGTTGCCCATCTGCCCCTCTTTTCACAGCTGTGAAAGTGGATCTAGTCTGCAGAACGAGGCTTTGCGATCCTAACTGCATGATTGGCCCCACGATTCACCAACTTGAATGATCTATGCAGTCTTTACGTGTTATGCGTCCTGCCATCCCCCATAAGTATTGTTGTTGCAGTGATGAAAGAGCGGTGTGTGCTACTCCGAAGTGGCTATCAAGATCTCATGGTGTCACTGCATGCTTATATTAAGTTATTGCGTAGTAGATGATCGCTCTCTCTCAAGTGCGCTCTCTCTCTCACACACACTCACTCACTCACTCTTGACTCCCGAGCAACATCTGTCAATGGCTTCGATAAGTGTTGAATTTAGTCCATTAAGTCTCACGGCAAGAAAAACAAGATCAATAAGTCATATACTACCAATGACTAGTGCTTGTGTATGATGTTCACCATAAGCTATGATAGCTCAGTTCAAAGCTTCAAAGGTTCTTTTGGGCTTCTTCATCCACTGTTGACTGTTAGATACACGTGCACTGATCTCGTATATAAGTGGAAATTGATATATCGAATCGATCTTAACTGCGGACATCTGGAGTATTCTTTCTGAATAGGAAACTGCGTGTCGATCATACATCCTGTAGTCTACCGTGGATATCTTGAGGCCAATAGCAAGTCGAGGAATTGTCAGGTGCAAGTCCATGTATGTATGAAGAAAAATGGTGGCGCCGCTGAGAACGATATCGTGCACATGTGTGTTTGCCTTGATACTACAGACCAAGTGGGTCCATCTTTAGAAAAGAGATTCCTCTTGCGTCGTCAATTCCATGTACAAAATACATAGTACCCAACTCACTTCTTCCCAATCTTTCTTGACCTTGCTAACGTTGTGATCCGTACTCTTTGTATTTATACCCAATCTACTACCTACCATGGCCTTTTCTGATCATTCTCTCTCTCAATACTGTATTTTGCACTGACTCTCTGTATACAGAGACACGTCGACACCATGTCAATGCTCACAGAAACCACCTCCAGGGCCGACCTCTCCTCTCAACTAGAAGCCTTGTCACCCTCTGCTCTCCTCGTCCTCTATTTCTATACACCATGGACGGAATACAGCACAAAATTAAGACCCCTACTATCCTCCATCGCCTCCCAATGCCCAACAACTACCCCGCCAACAATCTCCTTTCTGAGCATCAACGCCAAAAATCTCCTCGAAATTTCAAAAGAATACGGCGTGTCCAAAGCCCCATGCATCGTGTATTTACGGAATGGCCAGATCCTTGAATCAATCAAAGGCTCCGACCTCACGGAGGTCTGCAACGCTCTCCGCCGCTATACAGGAATCAGTACAAAGATTCCCCTCAGCCCTGATCAATCGGCTCACCCTCTTGAGCTATCAGAAGCTTTAATCACCCATCTGACAGAACTGGTCAGGACGGCACCTGTGATGCTATTCATGAAAGGAACACCCAACTCGCCGCTGTGTCGCTTTAGTCGACGGTTGGTTGGGATTCTAAACGAAAATAACATTAGTTATGACTCTTTTAATATTCTGACCGATGAGGATGTTCGACAGGGATTAAAGGGGTTTGGGGACTGGCCTACCTTTCCCCAGCTTTGGGTCAATGGGGAGATGGTCGGTGGGCTGGATATTGCGAGTTCATCCGATTACCGTATATGAACTCTCTGCTCATCGTCTTTTAGGTCCGTGAGCGCATAAATGAGAATTCTGGGTTTTTGAGTCAACATGTGGCCGGACCTGTGCAAGAGTGCTCAACACATGACAAGATTGAGAATTTTCACGCCATTCTTGCTTAGCTCAAGGGTGATAGAAGATGTCTAAATTCCTTAGGCTTGGTTAATTTTCAAGTGGTCGAGGTGATACTTCCCAGTAACCCGTGTTTACATTAAAGTCCTTTGCAATTTTACATCTCCAATCCACCCAATCTACCCATTTCACCCCAATCAATCCTTTGTTACCGCAAATCTACAACCTCGAAGCCATCTGGACAATATGGCACAGTAATTCCCAGCATTTGAAGTTTGGTAAAACATGCAAAGGAAAAATCGCGAATTCCAATCTTGTTGGATTCGTGGACCAATCAACTCCACGATGAGGTAAACTTGCGCTCATTAACTACTAGTAGATGGTTTAGATGGCAGTGTAAAGGCAGTGACTTAGGCGGTTTCAATCTAGACTTTTTCTATCAAGTGCGCACTATCCAGACAAGGAACTATATGTGGAAGAAATTGGCCTTCCTTGAAGAACCCCCATGAACTCCTCTCGATCTATCCACATCAAACTCATCAGCAAAGTACGTATGCCTGAAACATAGAAATAGAAGAACTCACCCTCAGCTGTCTGAAACGCAATCGAAATAGCACCCTCACGATCCACAAGATTATTACTCTTAGCAGTCCGAGCCATTATGTTCATCATATCCAAGCTCGTTCCCCGAGAATACGACAGCTTCGGAAAATTGACTCGTGTACTATCTTTCGACGAGTCGGGACAGTCGGACGGGAGACACAACGTCAACCACTTATCCGGAATACCATCGTCCCACCGTGCTGCAAGCTGTGTTATGTTTCCCCTGCGCCACAGTTGGATCTCTGCGCCCCCCTTTCCAGACTTCTTCCCCCCAAGCACTTTGCTCTTGGTTGAGAGCGACAGAATGCGCCTCGAATAGGACAGATCATAAAGCGGGGAGAGAGCGCTCATGAAGGCGCGCAAGACAGAGTCACTGTCGAACGAGACGACTGCTGGTCCTGTTTTCTTCTCGCAGTGGGAGAAAACGACAGGCTTGTCTGCGGCGAAGAGCTGATTTACGTGGGAAGAGATATAGTCGGTGTAAGAGGCGTGGGGGAAGCGGACACTGAGCGATGAGTGCTGATAGGCATAGTCTGTGTCACGGTAGAGGTAATAGACGTCGGAATGTCGCCACGGCGAATTATTTTGGAAGATCACAGCAGCTTTGTATTGCTTGTGCTGAGTTCCGGTGTCGATAACATCATATATGCGACCTGAGCTACTGGGCTCTGACCATGAGAAGTCTGGTTTGAAATTGATCTCCAAGATAGCCTTTTCAAATTCTTCGGCACCCTGCCCAGTGCTGAAATGTAGCCCCACCCCGATGTTGGGTGTGCTGCCATCATACACGTATGAGTGCAGGATGTTATAATTGCCATCTGTCTTTGATCGCTCTTGGCAAGCATCGGACCATTTGAGAAGGACCTGGCGGGAGAGATCCTCACGATTGATTTGAACATGGCTGAGGGGCATGAATAGTTCAACGCACATAGGATTTCTTCGTGCCACACACGGGCTGATCACCATTCTTCGAGTACAACGCCAAGCTTCGCCGAATGATCTCTCAAGGATGCGGACATTGCAGGACTTGATTATCATTGGCGGGTTCATCGGCTTCATATTCGGGGGCTTCAGGTGCTCGAATATCTCCACCGAACCCTTGAAAATGACACTTTCGGTGAATTCCTTTGAATCGATCGGCTCTCTCTGCCAGACTGCATCAAAATAGGCCTTTGGTATACCGATAAAGTGACCCAAGTCAGCTTCAAACTGAAACGAGATTGAAACGTTCGTATTTTCGAACATAAAAAGCACTGGTTCCGAGATTCGAGCCCCCGGAAACCCCGTTAAACTGGAATTGGCCAAGTTAATCAACGGTGGTAGGTCATCAGGTACAACTGCAAAATGTTTAGTCGGTTGCCCCTCGAAGAATACAATGGCAACAACATGAAACTTACAGTCGCGTTGTAGGCAAAGCGAGCCATTCTGATTACATAGAATGATCTTTGGCTCACTTTCACCCTCCTTGGTTGCCAGTAAGAGCATGTATGGAGCGGATCGGGTGCGGATCCGGAATTTTTTAGATCCAATACCTGCGTTGACAAAGGCTCGATAGAGAACCCTTTCCTCTTCGCTACCAGCATCTTCCTGGTTGACAGCTATCCAACGTGAATTCTCAAGCCCATAGAAGTTCAAGCTACTTTCTGATGCCTCCTCTGGCTGAACAGGCTCCCAGATATCCAATTCTTGGGCACATAAGCTTGAGAAGTCAGGGATATCCAAAGAACTGTACTGAGTCAGCTCATCATTGATTCCCTAAATATTAGTTAGCATCCATAAATATAAACATCAACTGTGACTAGTTACATACCTCTGAAAGGTCCGAGATTGCTTTCCGATTCTCATCAGTCAATAGAGCAGGCGAGTTCTCGTCTCTGAGGACAATTTCATAGAGAATATACGAAGCTTTAAGAAGATCAACATAAGCCTGGTGTGATGCAGGCTTTGATTCGCCGGGAAGAGCCGTATTTCCTCGAGCACTGACAAGGCTATGTCTGTTGCAGTTGGCCAGTGTAGCGCGCGTCTTCAACAGCCACCAAGTCGCAACACGAAGCCAGTCCCTTGTGATGAGTCTTCGGGCCTGAAGCTCTTCATTCACTGAAAGTTCAAAGGCCTTGATGATATCCTGAGGTGGCCTGTGTAATTTATTTTGCGGCACGTACCGTATCGGCCGGGCAAGTTGTTCTTGATGACGGACCTGGCGGAGCTGTTGCATAGCATTGGTAACCGCTTTCATGACATTCTCATGCCCGAAATCCGCAATCGATGAGGAATCGCTAGATTTGCCTACACTTTGTCTGTCATGGACATCAAAGGCATCTTCCCATGGTATTTTGTCCGGCGAGCGACCGTCGATAGAGCCTTCATAAAGCGGTTGAGGACTGAGGGCCCGAGAATTGAGCTTTCCAATTAAGCTTTGTGAAGGTGGGCGACTATAAATGGAGTGTGATGTAGGCAAACTTCCTCCGTGAAGGGAGCCCTCAGATCCAGACATGATAGAATCAGATGAGGTGGATGTATGTTTGGGTCGAGCGGGGATTCGATATGACTGCTGCCCCTGAGAGCTGCGCGAAGAAAGAGGAGAAACAAAAGGAAGCGTTTGTGTATGTGGGGAAATATATGAATTTACAAGCTCCTCGTAGTCCACTGATCCGCTGCTTTTGACAGTCAGCGGTGATACTGCCAAGCTTGAATCGCGACGAGAGCTGTCGAGAGAAAGCAATGCCTGCTCATCCTCCTCCATAGCTTGTATCATTGTCCGTTCGATATCAGCGAGAGAGGAGCTGTAGAAAAAGGAAGAAAAAAAATTAGTCTGGTTAGGAGACAGGATTAGGAAAAGTATCTTACTTTTCTATAGGGCTCATACACAAATTCAAATTGCATGTGTGGACCAGAAGCTGAGATCTGATATCCTCAACTTGTGTCCGCTGTGTAGCCCATTTAATCCTTTGCCAGAATATCTTTCCCTCCGCTATTCCCGACTCTTGATACCGGTTAAGCAGACTCGTCAACCACGCCAAGGTTTCAAAGCAAGCGTTCAGACATCGCTCCAATATCGACCTACGGTCTTCATTCATTCCCTCGAAGAAGAGCGTATTGGAAGTAAAGTCATCAGCAAGGGTTCGCATCACACCCTGTAGCGAGCCCAATCCCGTCACAAGATTGCGAAATCCATCGGGGGCATCTTTTGCGAAGACCTGACATTGATTGTAGACTTCCCATGTGGCCTTTGTCAGGGCAGGAATATCGGCGATCCCAAAATTTTCCGACATGATGAAAGAGCAAAGGTAAATATAGATCGAGGTCCAAAGTTTGGAACGAAGACTATTTCGCACAATTTCCCGGGTTCATCTTTGAGTAACCCTGAAGACAGCTTCGTGTGCCCCGCAGCAAGCCCAACAGGCAGGACTGCAAGAATAATGCAAGTTATCACAGCTGTGATGAAGGATCGCTGCAGGTATCCGGGCGCAAACAAATGCCAAGATCGAGGTGAAGAAGTTGGATGAGATCCAAATCCCCGTCAAAAGATATGACACTAGCACAAGAAAAGCAAGAGGGAAAAAAGAGAGAGAGAAAAGAGGAAAAAGAGGGGATGAGGATTTCACCTGACTTTCGAGTCACTGTCAAAGAAATGATTGTGTTCCTCTGCCATGGAATTTTGGCAAACTGGAAAGCCAATCCATACCCCGGTTGATTGCTTCCCCTGGCGCCTATACCGCCACCGATTCCGAAAGAACATAAAAGGAAATAATGTATGCGTTTGAGGAAGAACTTGGAACTGGAATAAGATGCTTTTGGACGATGGCATAGGATGGGCGCATTGGAAGTATGGATCGCTTTCATTCTCGGAGCCACAAAGTGAAAGTCCTTGAATTAGACCAACACAAAGAACTGTTGAAGAGTAAGTGAGTTGAAAGAACACTGCACCCCGCCAACCTTGTAATGAACTTGGAAAGATTCCACTAACCATTGGTGCATTTCAATTTCTTTGGTTTTTTAAAGAGAATCAAAAATAGAATTAAAGTGGAAAGAGTAGTAGTTGATGCTCATCATATATTTAAAGTGTTGTTCCAGAGAGAATTAGAAGTAAGAATTCCTCAGTACTATTGGTACATACTATAGAACAACTTCATGCAAAACACCACCATTACCGCCATTGCCAACGACACAATGATTTTCCAATTTCTCAGAGCCTCCCTCACACGGGCCAAACAACCCAGCTTCTACTTCACCCTCGTTGAAACGGCAAAGAGCTTTTTCCAAGCCAACCCAGGCTACATCACCCCCGTTGCAGTATGTGCCATTCCAGACAGTCAAAAGTCAAAAGTACCCACCCGACACCTCAGGCACGCTGCCGATCAATCAAACAAGCTCCACAAAAACATTGAAAGCATTGAAAGCTAACATCTTCCCCTGAAGCTCATAACCGCCGTCTTCGGCACAACCTTCTCCCCAGAAGCCAACCGCTGCAGACCCTACTGCTCCCGCTTCTACTCCAAAATGACGGAAACCTTCTCCTTCGACTGGCCGGCAATCATCTGCCTCGTCGTCTGCCTCGGCCTCATGCCCGCCGCCTACTTCCTCACAAACCACTACCTCCCCGCCTCCAAGAACAAGAGCCGCGCGCGCTTCCTCTTCGCCTGGCACGCCTACGACGCCCTAACCCACCTCCTAATCGAAGGCTCCTTCCTCTGGGAATGCTTCACAAGCTGGGCGCCCGTCGCCGGTATCCACAGCCCAGAACCCTTCTTCCTGAATAAGCCTGATCGCGTCTACGGACCCGCCTACGGCACCGGGCCCTCTGCGCGGCTCTGGCAGGAATACGCAAAGGCCGATCGTCGCTGGGCTGGAGCTGATATCACCGTTGTCTCGCTGGAGCTGCTTACCGTTTTGCTGGGCGGACCGGCCGCGATCTATATCTGTTATTTGATTTGGAAGGTGGCTAATGCAAAGGCTTTGGGATCGGCGGTGCGGGGCGGGTTGAAGGCGCAGCTTAGTTTTGCGATGACGGTGCTGGCGACTGCGGAGCTTTATGGGGGTTTTATGACCTTTGCGCCGGAGTGGTTGACGGGCTCGACGCAGTTGGCTACGCATGATTTTGTTTACAAGTGGGTTTATCTTGTTTTCTTCAATGGGCTTTGGGTTTGTATTCCGCTTTGGGTTTTGCGGCAGGTGTGGGTTGATGGGAAGGTTGCTTTTGTGGCTAAGGAGACCGCTGTGAAGAGGCATTAAGTTTGGGGTTTGGTGTGTAGGGGGATCTCTTGTACCGTGTTTTCTTCATTGATTTCGAGGGCATCTATCGATAGATACTGCATACATATTGGGAATTGATGGGTTGCTTGCGGGCTTTCTTGCTTTCGTTGATTTCGGTTTTTTTTTTCTTTGTCTTATGCTTGTGTTTTAGTGGACTTGGGTTGCTTGAGAAATACTAGGGGCTGGAGGTACTAGATTTCGAATATAGATGTTCTTGTTTTTCAACCGTCGTGTCCATTAGCGAAGAGAGAAATGTGAGTGCTGAGAAGACCATAAAATGAAGGGAAGCTTGAAGGCATAATTTCAATGATGAATAATGTACTGTACACGCTCGTAGATTAGGCAACGCAACTCGAAAATCAAATATACCATTCGTCAAAATCATAGAACAATGCAATAATCATTTTCATACCTTACTCACACCTTATGCCCCCGATCCTTATCCCAAAACCAATGGTAGAAGCTCTTCCATTCTTCCGCCTCATCCTCGACGTACTCCCCGACTAACTCAGCAGTTTCATTAATATCATCCGGCATAGGTGCGATCTTCAGCCCAGACGACGCATCAACCCCATGCGCAGCTTCCGAAGCCCCTTCTCCAGCCGCAGTCGCAGCCGCAGCCGCATTGGAAGTCATGTCCACAGCTACACTGCCAGAGTGGCTATTGAGCAAATCTTCAGTGCCTTCCTTAGCCCTTTCCGCAAGTTCACGGGCTCCCTCGCGCGCAATATCACTATACTCCTCCGCCTGCTCCCTCGCACGCGAAATAAGCTCCTCAGGCGACGGGTATCGACGCAAAAGTATGAGAAGAATATAATAGCTCTTCACAATAGAGTTGTACACAGCATCCTTCACTAACATGGTAAAACCGTGCGAGAAAAATCCCTTCAGAAGCTCACCGGACAAACCAGCGTAGACAGCGGAAATGCCCTCCGCACGCGCAATGGTGATAACATTGTAGACGATCTGCGGCATGAGAGCCGATAGGACAGTTTTGCTCTGGCCTGGCTTCTGTGATTCACTACCGCTCATAGCCTGCGCACGCGTCTTCGCCAGCGAAAACGGGTACGTGATTGACGATGCCACGGACTTGCTCAGCGCAGCCAGCAAGAAGGTCACTGCGGCCGAGGGCTTATCTCTTTTTGCGCGCGGAAGAATAGCGCGCTTCAGCACCTCATTTAGGAAGAGGGTGATGGACGGGTTTAGAGTCAGGATCATTGTCGCCGAGTATCCGGACCAGAAGCCGGACAGACCTTTTTCTTTCTGGATCTGCGCTGCAATGTCCAGTGTCGATTGGGCTGGTCCATTAGAGCCCTTTCGCGCAGCGGTCTGCTTTCTTGTGACGATGTTTGCTAGCGGTGTCGTGAACAGCTTTGAGAAGGAGCCGGCTACGACGCCGATGGCGAGTTCGTCTATGATGGGGAGAACGATGTTCTTCGTTTTTGCTGCGCGGGCGGGGCCAACGCGGGCAACGATTCGGCGTTGACGGACAGTATTGTAGGCGAGGAAGAAAAGGAACGAGTCTAGGATTGTCTTGCAGGTGTCCTGTGCTAGACCAGGATAGAAACCCGCTAGACCTTGGTCGAGATAAATTTTGTAGGCTGCATCGAGGATGCTGTTATACTCTCCCTCTTCATCGGTACCATTCTCATCCTCTTTCTTGTCCGTGCTCTTGTCTTTTCGTTGTTGGGTTTGTAATCGGGCGATGATGACACTGAGGGGGTAGACGACGACGCTGGAAACAGCTGAGCCCACGGCGCCAGCGACTGCATTGCCTAGAACTGGGAGGGCGGGGCCGCGGAGAGCTGCGGATTTCCAGTCTCCGATTGGGCTTTGGCTTTCCCAGCGGTAGGAGGGGTGGAAGGCATCCTGCGAGACGATGTTACGTTAGGTATTTGGAAATTATTGATTGATTGGGCTTGGAGATCAATTTAGGCCATACCAGCTCAGACTCGTAGATGAGTTTGTATTCCGCCATGATGATGTTTGGCTCAGACGCGTTTGGATGTTGAGGACTCCTGGGCCTTGGTTTATAGCTGCTTACGCCCGAGTCCCGACCGGGGGATTTCAGTAGTTGTTTGTAGCTGAGTTGACGAAACTAGGTTGAAGCTAGAATGCAGTTCTGGGTGAATTCATACCACCGGGAATGGATCAGAGAAGGCCTTTAGAAGAAAGACCATTAGCGAGCAGAAGAAGTGGGTGTGCAGCTTCCGAGAATGTGAAGATGTACTCCATGGCCGAGGTAGCGGTTCAATTCATTACATCATGCCGATCATGTGGTCCGTGCTAGTATGGGCTGACTTGACCCACGCTACTCCATACTGATAAGACAAGAAAAATAGTAGCCCGACTACACAGAGTATAGTCCGTACTTGTACTTCATACGAAAATCATACGTTGAAAGTGACCGTCAGATTAAACTGAAGGCATTCGTTTGATACTAGACCAACGAGCCTAGTTGACGGCTAACTAGTAGACGAAACCCAATATTCCCATAATTTGTCGCACCAGAAAAAAGAAGACAATCCAGCGAACCCGATCCTCCCAAACCAAAAAAGAAGTCCCAAGCAGTAGACAAGTTTCGTCATACATGTATCTTTGAAAACGAAGACAACAACCAAAAAACAACCATCACACCGTTGAGCGCGTTAAAGAAACAACGAGGCCGAGAAGCCGGCAACCATATCCATGAAGACAGACAGGAAGCAATCTAGCCACCGAAACCGTAGAGGGTACGGCCCTGGCGCTTGAGGGCGTAGACAACGTCGAGGGAGGTGACGGTCTTACGCTTGGCGTGCTCAGTGTAGGTGACGGCGTCACGGATGACAGACTCCAAGAAGGTCTTGAGGACACCACGGGTCTCTTCGTAGATCATGGCGGAGATACGCTTGACACCACCACGGCGAGCGAGACGACGGATAGCGGGCTTGGTGATACCCTGAATGTTGTCACGCAAGATCTTGCGGTGACGCTTGGCGCCGCCTTTGCCGAGACCCTTACCGCCCTTGCCACCTGTAAGAAGACATTAGTATGATTGTAGAAGATGTCGGAAGCAGAAAGAAAGATAATAAAGAGAAAAGAAGAACAAAAAAGAATTAAAAGAAAAAAGAAACAAAGAAGTATGAGGATATAGACAGCAAGGTCATGTTAAAGGTCGAGAAGGGGGAGCGAGAGTTTCCCAGTTGGGTTAGAGTTGGAATGCAGGGTGGCCTGAGGCACATGGTCGGGACTGGTCGCCACCAATGATGTGCCGCCAGGGGCATCACCAACTTCAACATCACGAACATTTGGAAAAACACGACAGCGACTGCGAGGCGAAAAACAACGCGAACATGAAGCAGAGAGAATCAATAGAAAAGAAACTTACGTCCAGACATATTGGCAGTGATGGAAAATAAGAAGGATTAGAGGAGTGTTGATGGTTGAGAGGCGAGGTTGTCAATAAACGCGTCGATGGTTGGCGAGATGTGGATGGGGAGAAGAAAAAAGAAGAGAAAAACAGCTAACGAGAGGGGAAAGGCGGGAATTAAATACGTGGATGACTACGCGTGATTTTTAGGGGTCGGGTGAGAGGGGGGGTTAGTAAGCCATTGGGGTTTTACATTCTGCAATGCGGCGGTGATTGGCAGGCAGGCAGACAGAAAAAAGGGTGTTATGAAGGGCTGGATTGCGAACGCTTCCTTGGGCCATTACCCGCGTCGTGTCAATGCAGCGAAAATCATAATGTCTTGTTGCGGGTCACGTGATTGATAAGCCCCGATAAGAAGCCGCCACATCAAACTATCTGCAACCTTAGTAGGTACATTCCTTATGGTGGGGTAAAGAGTATACACTACCATCTTTAAATATGGATTACGCGTGACAATCAGTGGTTGGGAAATAAATCATAATCTTAATATCATATTATCTTCTATTATCATGGCTCTATAGAATGAAGCAAAACAGGGGGGAGAAAAAAAAGGTTAAATCAAAGGTACTCAAAAGGTACTCAAAGAAAGTACTCCAGGTAAAAGAAGACAAATCTACTTATACCTACCTACCACTTTACGGTGGATAGAACGAAATCTTTGATCAAAACACATTGATTCATATCCCTCGTGCATTCAAGATCAAGTCGCTTCTTGGGCTGAAACGGACATCCTTATCCTGAAAATCATATCTCTTGCCATCTCATCATGGCTTGCATACTGTCAAATATGTGGTTCTTAAAAACGCGCAAAACGGAAAATAAGAGAGAAAAAAAATGGAATACGAACCACCAGAACACCATGCACGCAAGAGTAACAAGCAAACACAAACAGAATGCATCGAAGAAAAGAGGCGGGCGAGACTAAAACTTTTCGATAAAAAAGGTGGAAGATCTGCGGAGCAGGGAAGAAGTGAAAATGCCTCGAGAGGGGGAAGGGGGAGGGGGAGAAAAAGATAAGAAAATCGTCATCAGTCATCATGCATAATCAAAACAAAAAGATCGAAACGGAAAATAACCCGTTTCATCTCAGACGCGACTCAATGATTTCTGTGGATACCGAAAGACCATGGTCCCTCACCAAAACAGCCAATGTCCCAAAAGAGGCCTCCGCGGTTTATTGTACATCGCAGGAAACCAAATCGTTCACATGTAACTAAGAGGTGAAAGACAATCTAGAGCCAGTCGAGTCCCACAAGAAAGAGAGGAGAGATGTCCACCATTCGCAAAATAGAAAAATTTCACTGTGCGCCAACCCAAGCTGTGTGTGCAACGGCCATAGACGGAATGGAGAATGAGTTGACTGGACCAATCTCAGAAAAGGAAAAATCAAGTCCCCTTCAAAGAAACAGTCAACTTGATGAAAAAAAAGGTAGACGTGGAAGAAGGAAGTAGCCGAACTCCATGGCGGTTTATCGAACGACTTTTTTTGTCACTCACCCTCTAATCACAGGCGACGACGGAGGGTCGTTCATGAATCCATGTTGCAAGGTCTGGTGATATGGATAACGGTGGGACATAGGAGACGGTGAGCTGCGAGGGGATGTACGCGGGCTCAGGGCCGCCGGTGACCGAGCACGGGATTCACGAGGTGTTTCAATGGGAGATGATTCGAGAGGAGCCGGAGAGCCGGGAGACAGAGGGGGTGATGGTGTTCCAGAAGGGAAATTTCTGCCGGCCTCCTCGCTAGGATGCTTTGTGGTTGAAGACTTGGAAGAACCATACTGGATTCAAGTTAGTAGCTGGATCGAGAACGTCGACAAAGATGAGTGGGGTCTTACAAAGCAGTACTTATCAACCAACTCTTTGTAGACCGAGGACTCGAGACACGGCTTGCTAGAAACCAGTGAGGAAGGTTTCGGAGTTTCGGCAGGGGCTCCGTCACAGGATTTGCTCACTGGAGAAGACTCGCCCCGCAAATTCTCTGAAACCTTCCGGGTCGGTTTGGCGTCAGCACCGGTGGGCTGTCCAGATCGTGCTCGTGTTGTCAAAGTTGTTCGATCCACAGGAGGCTTGGTTCGAATCGCAGCAGTTAACGAAGCGCCAAAATCGTATCGGTTGCCGAATGCCTGAGGACTAGGCTTCTCCCGACGTTTGGGAGGGCCGCAGGTGTCCATATCATCTGATGAAACCTTGGTCAAGGGCGAGCCTTTCGGATCATCAAATGGGTTGTTGAAGGGTACATTCTTGCTGATTTCGGGGAAATCGTCAAATGATGGGGGCATCGAGTGGGGACGTGTGTGGGAACCAGTGAACGTCCGACTGCGGGGAAGTGCAGGTCGGGATCCACTTGATGGTTTGTTAGGGGCAATAGTCTTGATTGCTTTGTGGAAATCGACCTGGAAATTGAGGCCATTGTTGTTGTCCCAATACTCTTGACCATCAACGTTATAGCGAATGCAGATAAAGAGGGTCTTATTCTCGAGGTTGGCCTGATCATCCAGCTTGATCTCGAATGAAAATCGATCGGAACCATCGGCTGCATGTTTACGGCGAACATCGTGGCAGAAAACTGCACTCACTTCGGAAACAGTTCTCCAGTGGTCAAAGGTGAATCGAGCGGCCACATGCTTGTGGAACGACAAGTTTGCCACGGCAACCGAACCGACCAAGACATTCCTGTCACCTGAAAGGAACAATCTTTCTAGACGAACGGGGTTTGTGGCACGGATTGACGAGTCCTTGGGGAAGTTGGCAAGCCGAAGCTCCCACTCCCATGCTGGGGTCTTGTCTTCCTGTTGTTGTCTAAATGGGAATTCACCCTCGGTGTCATGGTCGTCGACTGGGGATGTTTCGGCACTGACAGCCAATGGTCGGTCGAGCTGTAAGAAGTGACGAATGTGTTCCAAATGAGAGTCGAAGTGCACTGCCTTGGCATAGACCGGAGTTCCCGGCATGCTGGATGGTCGACGTCGAGCGGTTGCGGGCCGGAGAGCCGGACGAACCAGTTCGCCCGACTTCTTCCGAACCATCATGGGCTTGGGTGAGATTTCCACATCACTGTCATCGGGGGAGCTTGTCAGTGCCTCCTCCTGCCGTAAGGTAATAGCGGGATCTGTTGATGATCGTGAGTGAGAGATCTTTCGAGCCGTCTTGGATAGTCGTAAGTGATTGGGTTTCGTATTGAGGGCGGGTAGTGAGTGTGGTTGACTCGATGAGGAGCGAGCCTCGTTTCCTCTGGCGGTGGGGCCCATTCTCTCCGGAGACGATTCCTTTCGTTGTTCGATTGCCTTGAACGCTGCCTCGAGGTCCTCGAGTTTGATTGACGATTGATGAGGTGACTCTTCGTCTGAGTTCGGGGCGGATTCGGGCGGCGAGATTATCGCCCCTGGTGGGATGACGGCATGGCTCAATGGAGGTGGGGACTGGCGGAGACTAGCATGGGGGTCAATGATGTGGCCAGTCAGCCGTGCAGAATCGGGGGATTGCACGGGGGACGTGGAGATAGATGGACTCCTCCTGTGGCGTCGAACATACGAGGTAGAGGAATAAGATCGGGAGCCTTGCAGGCGATCTGAAGCAGAGCGAAGCAAACCAGGCCTTTCTGGAAGGACGTCTGGTTTAGGTCCGCAGTACTCAATGTGCTGCGCGGCGAGCAACGACTTCAACGGCGCAGTGTAGGGCATCCGGCCGACTTGTGTGTCTTGACACAAGAAGGGGCGAGAGATTCACGGAATACTCGATGGTAGGATTTCAAGATGAAAGCATCAGAAGCTGTTCGGCAAAGATGGTGTCAGTCATTGGTATAAATCCGATCCTGTGGCGAGATGGCGAGATGGCGAGATGGCCAGGTGTTGGGGTGTTGGGAGGAGCTGCAAGGTGAGAGAAACCAACGGGCATGGGAGTTGCAGGGAGTAATTGGAAATCGCCAAAGTGAACAGGGGGGAAGATGATAATGGCGGGTTATGAAATGCAGTGGAGTGGTGTGATACCGGATGGCAAAAGAGGAAGGCGCGATCCAGTAGAAATGGAAAAGTATCACAGCACCTTCCAAGTGACACGGGAAGGCAAGAACCGACTGGTCAAGAAGGCAATGGGCAATGAGATGCAATTGAGGGGTAAAACCAAAACCCTTGGAATAGGTGAAGAGTGAAAGTGGGATTGGGAAATGAGAGGAATGTGGGATACATAAAAAAGAAGCAGCTTATCACCTACCGTATAATCAAAAAGTATGGCGTGAAGATAGGCAGAGTCGGTGGTGGCGAGATTATGCAAACGTGGGAAATAAAAAGGGCCAAAGTCACCCGAATGTATCAAATAAAATAAAAAAAGTACAAGAGAAAAAAAAAGGTAATGAATCCCCCAAAAAATGAATTGAGAGGAATTATAAAGGATTGGATGATTGCGATCAATGATCACCTCACCCCAGTACCTTGAAAGTATCCGATAAGTCGTAATGTGGAGGGGCGAATCAAATTGCCATTCCCGAGACCGTTTTTTTTTTCAGGAATCAAGAAAGAAAACCAAGATCCCACTTCCCATATAAATTCCCTAGTGGGAAATAAGGTGCAAAAGGGAAAGGGGAAGTTTTTCTTGGGAAAAGAAAAAAAAGGAAGACCCGGAGATAAAAAAGCCAGGGAATTATAGCTATTTGCATAAAAAAAAAATATCCAAAAAAACTGGGTAAGGAGGAATTGTAGGGGCAAAAAAGTGGAACAAGATAAATAAAGACTTACAAGCGCCCATTGGTAAAATCTGCTTTGCATCGACTCCGCTTGGTACTGTCAGTGCGTCCCGTATAGCATGGTTAGGGACACGCCAATGTGGGTCGAAAAGACTATGGAAGTCACTTCCAAGAAATAACTTGAATTTTACCATTTTTCTTTTTGATTTGGTTTATTTTTTTAGTTCTAGCCTTTTTTTTTTCCCATCAAATATCTATTTAATTTAGTCAATGCGGAAAAAACGCCCCATGGAGTAGACTAGTTACTATACTCTGACGACCAGGTACCCTCAAAGTTATAATCTAGACAATTTAGAAATCCTTGGATATAATCCATCGACTATTATGGCTATCATGGCTATCATATTTTTTTTTTGATTTAAACTTGACTCCGAAATACCCGTTCCCACCTTACGACTTCAACTTGGTTAAAATGATGTGCAATCTCCATAAAAAAAAAATAAAAAAACTGAATCTTCCCTCTCTACGTAGGGGCTCCGCTCACTAGCTTGATAATCCATTTTTCCTCTTGTGTTCCCTGTTTCGGGACTGACGTACTGGCAATTGTATCACCTTTTTTTTTCTTCTTCCTCCGCGGAATGCGACCGGGGTAAAGAGTGTCGAAATGCAAAAGAAAATGGGGTAATCAACGTAGAGAAATGACCGAATGGGAAAAATCAAGGAAAGAATCCCAAAACGACGTTCCAAGAGATCCTTATCATCTAAGGAGGTCCGAGTCCTCCGATTTCACCATTGGTCCAGAATCAAACAAAGATTTTTCTTTCCCATATAACCTCGAATTCTATTCTCAAACAAATATCAAACTGAATGAATATATTAAATGCTTTAAACAAATACGAGATCTCACCGTACTCCGCGAAGGGGCCCCCGGATTCATAGATTCTCCTATGTTTGATGGGTTTTATCGCCCCCATACTGACCCACGGAACCATGGAAGAAAAGGGAAAAAGTCAATCGTATACATGAACTTATTTCCTTTTCATCTTTCCTTTCTTTTGAATACTCTGAAATAAGAACCTTTTCTTCCCCATCTAAAGTTTTGATCTTACATGTAAGGGAGTTTGTCCACTTGACCTACGGTGGGACACTAATTTCTACGGTTTTCCCTTTTCAGCCTCGAGCTACACAAATTTGCATTTGCATTGGAATGGAGGGGCAAGTGGCCCCAGGTATGAAATGTCTTTTACTCAACTGTGACATGCATAAGTGCTAGGTTATTTCATTGGGGTTATCTTGTTCAACGCCCAAGTGGATCGACCGAGCAGCGACCTATGTATGTATGCACTCCGCCCCACTTGAACGTGCCGTGAAAACCGGAGCTCATGGGGCCGATCTCCATTGAACCATTTGCCCACTTTAGTAAAGAGAGGGAAAAAAAAATAGAATACTTGCAGGTTGCAGATAGCAGATTAGATGGTTCGAATTTTTTGATTCCCAGATCTTCTTTTTTTTTCAATTCTTATCTTGACTTTCGAACCATTGACTCATTACGGATCTGGTTCCAAGGTTATAAGCGACTATCAAAGCCAAAGCAAATGGGCAGTGGTAATTCCACGCAAAGTGGATGATGTCATACTGCAGTTGACAGGCCCCGAGGGTTGGATTATTTCCTTGGTTTGATTCCCCCTTGGCAGGTCTGGGCCTCAACTGGTATCCCAGTTTTTCTTTTTTTTTACTCTTTTTCATGCAGCTCAGATTACTATGTAGTATGTCCACACCCGTTGACTATGCAACATTGGCGTTTCTAAAGAGGTTCGCGGGAGTCTCGGAGTACTATCAGCCGCAGTAAGAACATTCTTGTGTCTTTTTTTTTTCTCTTTCTTTTTTTTTTTTCTTATTGTTCATTTTTTTCTCTGCGCTTAAGAAATCTCCTGTCGGAAGTCCCCGACATCCATTCTGGATAACTAATCCCGTTATCAACCCCGGACTGATGAACCCAGGTTCAAATGTTCGGAATCAATTAGCTTGTACCAGGTACTGCCGTTATCTACTGTGGAACGATAGGAATAAAATCTAAAAGGCCCAAGTACCACAATCCAAAGAGAAAAATTTTTGAAAAAAAAGGATAAAATATAAAAGAGAATAGAAAATAAGTATCATTACGCATATCGATTCCAGCTGGAATATTGGATATGTTCTCGGGAAAGTCTATTCCGTGTTTCACGATACCACAAGCGCCCGGACGTTATGAGATACCTCCTCGGGAGGCGCATGTCTCATTGTAATATATGGCTTCAATTTTACTTGTGGCTTGCTCTAGTAACCTTTCAACATGGTTTTCGAAACCCTGCGTCTAGATCCCCCTTTTATTGTTGAGAATCTTTTTCTTTTTGCCACCGCTAAAATGGTGGCATTAGAAATGTGGTGGTGGCTTTTAAAGATTCTCCATAACGCTAAGCCTCAGATTGGCGAAGCCGGTCAGCCAATAAAGAACATGTCTCCACCGAGAGTGGATCAGGGGTGGTCGGCTAGCCTAAGTACTATGAAAGAGGAAAAGCGTATAATGAAATCGAAACAGTCGAGACCAAGAGCGCGTTCATCTGACAATCCTTTGACTCAAAACGATCTTCTCTAATTCTGTACCCCCCCTCCCCCTCCACCCGGCCTTGCATAACAAGGCTGTGATGTTGATCTTCTCTCCAGGTTTTTCTATCTCGTGTCTCTCCCCCTCAACTCCACAAGCACAACTGGGGAAAGGAGGGGCTCCAGCCCGTCCCGCAGTTTGTGATCAGTGCGTCCCTCGGAAACGACACATCTAGATCGCTCGACCTTGGGGATCTTTGTATGGATCATGGCTGATAAGGGACCCTCCCAATAGCCAACCCCGTCGTTTCGGTGAAGCTGCAAGGTTGCAGAAGGTTTCCGACCATGCTGTACCTACTTACAAGCGATAACGCTCGTTGGCTGGTCTACCCTCTGATTTCTAACCAAAACGCTGGGAACCCTCCGTGCACTTTTCGTCCGTTGACTTTAAACCAGTTAACCCTGTTTTTTCAAGGTCGATCTTCTGCAACGTTCTGCAACGTGATCTTTTGATAACTTGGATCTTGGTCCCGAAGAATGAGATAGACAAGTGATTCAAAAAAAAAAAGTGGAATTCCTCAAATTCCGCTCTACACTGCCTTGCATTGACATGCACGCATTGGTCGCATCGGTCGCATGTACTATGGCACCACCAAAATCACGTCTTCTACCCATGCTAGATTCATTCGTCGTCCTACCCCAGCAAGGTGGTCGATGCGCAGCCCCCAGCGGTCGGACCAGTACATCCCACCACGGTCTTCTCTCCTCGGATTGGTAGCCTGCACTGGAAAGTTCAGCCTTAGATCTTAGTTTTTCTGACCTCCGAGCGCTTACTACTTACTCAACGTGGTCTCAGACTATCTTGCGATCAACAAACTTTCGGACTTTTTTTCTTTTCTTTTTGGTTTTGAAATTGTATGCTTTCTTTTTCAATGAAGCATGACCATGATCTTCACCGCTCATAGTGAGTTTACTCAATGGCCTCACCCTCGAGCCCTATCTCAATTCCATTCCACTCACCGGTACAGCCTTGGATCGCTATACGGGATTCGGCTTGCATTGACAATATGGTGGCTGAACCTTGAATGGAAGCTCCCCTTCGGCATCCAGCCTGCCGAGTGAACGAAACCAATACATCTCACCCTCATATCCGGGGATACGGAGACGAGAGCTTCTTTTTGATTTTAGACTCTTCCCAGCGCCATGAACTTATTTTTTTTTCTTTCTAACCTTCTCAGCTTGCATACACACCCCGCAAAATACTGGTCTGGCCATATGTCGCCAGCTCGCCACTGAACTGAAAAAACAGAACTAGATAGATGAACAGCTGTACGAGTCAAGATGATCCCAATTGCCATTGCTGATAGGATAGATCTGCACGAGGCCGCAGCAATCTACCCCGCGGGGGAGGAGCAGTCAATTCTGTAGGCCCTCAAGACGCACGCAATTTGACTTCCGATATGCGAACCCCGCAGAGGGATGTGATCCGGGGTCGACGCTGACTGCGCGCGGCTCTCCTGGTCATATGTGTGGGGATTATGGGCATCCTTTGCGATAGTAAGGGGATCTCACGAATGGGAAGCACGAGCTGACCTAATTGGACTGGTTAACCAACCCTTATCTCGGCTTGATGGTTTCAAAGATAAAAAAAAGTCGGTGTGCTTCCCGAGTTTATTGCATCGGGGACTACCATGTACTTCTCGATATGCAATTGTCCTAGCAAATATCACGTCCGAGATATCGAATCAAATCCCACTATCACTACCTTGGAAATCTATCTGATACGGAGCCATTCAAATGTTAAGTTTCGGAATATCAATATCTATACTTGGTGAAACTGCTCTTATCTGCAAATGTCGTTGCACTGCTGAGGCGCCTCCGTTCTG